TACCCTCTAGATAAATTCCCGGCCTTACATCCCATCCTTCCTCATATTTTCATTAACGAATTCCCACAGAACACAGCTATGACCATCTCGCACAGCAAACGCTACAATGTAGTAATATCACACCCAATTCCCCCCCCCCCCCGCCCCTCCCCCACCCCATCCACAAACACCCCCCCACCTCCCCATCCCCCCCTCCAACCCCCCTCCCCCGGCTCCCCCTCCTCCTCCTCAAAACGGCCACCGCCCTCGGCAGCTTCTTCACCTCGCCCTGCAGCCGCTGGTTCTCGCCCACAAACAGCCACGCGCGCTTCATCCAGGCCGTGCTGTCGCCGCCAGGGACATAGTCGGGAAAGTGCAGGCGGCCGATGGGGATGGGGGGCGGGGGGGAGAGTGGTTGGGAGGAGGTGAGGGTGGGCGGCGTGGGGGGCAGGTTGATGGTGCCTTGGAGCTCGAGGAGGGCGAGCCCGGAGGGGGTTTGGAGGAGGGTGGGGAGGGTTGGTGGTGTTCTTGTTGATGGTGTGGGGGAGGTGCGGGGGTGGAGGGGAATTGGTTGGGTGGATGTTGACATTGTGTTTTCTATTCTTTTCCCTGGGAGTTGTGGTGGGCCGCCGAATTATGAGGTAGGTAGTGCGGGTGCGTTGCAGAGGTTGATGTTGAGGTGGCGGGTGATTAGGGGTTTTTCGGAGGGAAGGCGGCTGGCGGGTTTGGGTTCGTTGATGTTTATGCCGAGTGATATTGCGATATTGGGGTTTTATCGTTGAGTCGAGCATGAGCTTAAGGTTGATGAGAGCCACCTCAGAGTGATTTGATGTGTTGCGGCGGTTGTGGAAATGCCCCGCTTTCTGCATACCTATCGACAAGGACTCGACTTCAATCCTTCATCTTTCCCTTCAAGTGCCTCCCACATTCTCTGTCACTACGCGTACATGGCCGAGATATTGTAAGATATGTGAAATGGATTAAGCTGGTGTTGCATCCCACTGGCCAATGCCGGCTGTTTTCAAGCTCACATGAAATTCTGGCACCACCACCCTCGATATCACGGGAATGCTGTTGTTACTTGACGGGGTAATGAGGATGAACGGCCAAAACCATAAGGAGGTGGCCAAGTAGTGTACTTTCCACACCACTCTTGAGTTAAATATATTAACTATTTGAGAGTATTACCCTCCTACGTAAAATCTGCCAAGCGACAGAAGAACTCGGATGTCCAAAAAGACCAATTTCCCGAGATAGAACGCCAAAAACTGCCCAAAGCCCTCTCCCTAAACTCCAAGCCTAGTCCAACACCCGGCATGCCTTATTCGACCGAAAACCGATGGCTGACCTGGAGCACGTACGGGTCACCGCCCGGCCCAAACACCTGCTTCCCGAGGCGGCCCCATTCGGGGTGGTTGATGCCGTCGATCCAGTCCTGCACCTCAAGGACCGCGCAGCCATACTTGGGCACCATGCGAGAAGGGTCCTGGTTCTTGCCCGGGTCTTCAACATTGCGACGGGCGGCGCCGCCGGCGTCACTGGCGTCGCGGCCAACGCCCTGCGACGCCTTGAGCGGGAAGGACCCGTTCTGGCCGTTGCACGAGTACATTTGGAAGGCGTCCTGGTCCGAGTAGACGTCGAGCCGGATGCCGGACCACGCCGATGACAGGCTGGCGACGTAGCCGCCGTCGGCGCGCCAGTCGTGGGGGTCGGGTCGGTTGACTAGCCAGCAGTTATCTAGAATAAACGAGTTAATGTTTGCTGCTACAACGTAGGGAGGGGGTTAAAGAGGAAAGGGCGAGGGGCGCATACCATAGCCGGTGCAGTTGAACCCGCAGTTTCCGTGAATCTCCGGGTCGTTGAAGCTCTCACCGATCTGCTTCGGGGCGCTCCAGAAGTCGTTGACGGAGCCCTTGGCGTTGGCCTGGATGTCACCAGTCGGGATCAAGATGTTGTCAACCGCAACCCGTTGGCCGCTGTAGGGCAGGTGGAAGGTGTGGTTAAATATGGTGTTCGTCTCATCGTTGGCAAAGCCGTCCAGGTTCCAGTACGTGTGGCTGCTCAGCATGATGGGGGTCTTCTTGGTCGTTGCGATGGCCACCATCTTGGCCTCCCAGGTCATGTCGCCTAGCGTGTAAGTGACGTACGAGATGACCTCGCCGGGGAAGCCCTCCTTGCCGTCGGGGTCAACGATCGAGAAAGTGATGGACTGGTTGGTGTGAGAGACAATATCAAACTTCCTCCAGTCCCAGCCATCCACCCCGCCGTGCAGGGTGTTCAGGCCATCCGGGTGCTCAGCGGTGGGGTTCTCATTTGCCGTGATGTGGTATTCCTCGCCATCAATCTCGAAGGTGCTATTCTTAATCCGATTTGCGTAGCGGCCAGGAACGCTCCCAAGGTGAGGATGTGATTTATCCGTAGCATAGTCGGCGGCCTTGTCGAAACCCATCACAATATCCCGAGGGATACCATTCTTATCCTTGATGATCAAGTTGGAAATGGAACCTCCGTAGGGGATAAAGGCGGCGGAGATGCCTTCGCCGTAAATCCAGTACTTCCCATTAGCATCTGGATGATGAGCACCTGAATGGCCGGGGCCAGGTGTAGGAGTAGCTAGTACTCCATTGAGAAGTAAAGCCGCTCCGGGGAGCAAGCGTAACAGACCCATTGCGTTTTGGTATTGTCAGGACGACAAGGTCAGGGTACAGAATGGTGTAAGAAGTCGAGGAATGGGTCTAAGGGAGAAGACGAGCGGATGTTATAAGCTCAGTCCATCAGCGGGGCAATGCAAGTGAATTGAGGGTGGTGCATGTGCGAAGCTGCAGGTGAATACCACGGTAAACATGGGATGGACGTCACCTCCTGCACAATATCCGGGAACATGAACCCAGGTCCCGGACAATTGTGCTGGGGTATCTGCAGGACCAGATCAACTCGAGGTTCCTTCGTATGTCCTTGGTACCATGGACGGAATAATTCAATTTCTCCGTACATACAGCCTAGAAGCGAGCGACGGATATTCGTTTTGGTGACGGAAAGGCTGGTAAACGGCCGAGACTTCGGCCGGCTCGTGATGCTGTGGAACGGGGTTTGGTTAGCCTTGCACAAGAGAGGTGTGGATTGCCTCGGAAGCCTTCCTCTTCCTCTCATTCTCCGTTCTTGAGCGACACTGTTGGCGGCCCGGGCTTCTTGGTGGGCATGGTCTCGTGGTATCCCAGGAACAATCACTGCCAGGCTCCCAGGTTCTTCCACTGCAGATCCCATTACCTCCAGTCTCCCAAAGAGGCAGTTGGAGAGACAACCACGTTGCCCATGCAGCTCCCTGCCACTCGCTGCAAGCGAAGGTGAGGAGAAACCAATTGAGTGGCGGGTACCCACATCCTGTTTGTCTCCATCCGGGTTCATGGGTTTCAACTTACCCTTTTCCAATTGCGTCTCGGCTGAAGTGCCATGAAGCTCCGAGCAAAACGCCCGCTTTGGTGATGATTGTTTACCACTTGCAGTCCCGGAATGAGAGTGAGAGGTTCGGGCGAGACGTTAAACCGCGATTGGTGCGCGTGTGATTTTGGGGGAATGCGGGGTGAATCCACTCAATACCCTGTCAGCTCTGCCCTGTTGTCCCCAGCAAGCCAGCAGCCGAAGCTTGAATCGACGCCAAGGGTCGGGCTCTGGAGGTTGAAGAGATTCGATGGTGGGATTCCAGCAAAACACAGTTGCGTGGAGAGTGGATGAGTGGGTTATGGTCAATCATACAGAATTCCGAGGGGTCGGAAACTATGTTGCAGTCAGTAGAGCCTCGGGGTCACAGAATTACTACGACACCATCCTTGACAAAGCCCTTGATTCAACGGCAAGCTTGGGTCTTAGTCTCCCGTTTAAGGTTTAAGGCGCGTGGCGGGAATCAAAACGGCACCGGATAACTACAACGATGTTACAGCGCACAAGCGAGGCGAGTAACGGACGCGCTCCAATGGCAGATACATACGGCAAAAATTTAACCGTTCGGCAAGTCGTCGGTTGCTGTTGCCGGGCACGGTTGAGATCTCGCATGGAGAGAACCAAACACTCGTCAAATTCCAATCTGCTAACTCGCCAACCGCCAACCGCCCCCCCAGACTATCATTTACAATGCAAGCCAAGTCTCCCGTACAGAGCGAACACGCTCGCATTACGTATATATGCATCGCTTGCTCATGACCCAATCCTGACTCACCCCTATTCATGCATCGATCAAGTTCTCCTCCTCGGGCGCCGCCGTGTCCCTCGTGTCCTTGGTCGTCGCCTTGCCCTTGCCCTTGCGGTCCGCCGACGACCGCTGGTAGAACTCGCTGAGAATCTTGGCGGGGATACGGTTCAGCATATCCTTGCGGTAGATGCGCAGCAGACTCCACGCGAGATCGAGAGACTCGAAAATGGTCCGCGACTCGTACGGGCTCTGGCTAATAAAGGTGCGCTCAAACTTGTCGAGGAACTCGAGCGAGAGCTTGTCTTCGGCCGACAGAGCCTCCTCACCGACGACGGCCTTCATGGCGGCTGCGTCACGGCCGATGGCGTACTTGGCGTACAGCTGGTTGGACACGTCGCCGTGGTCCTTCCGCGTCATGCCCTCGCCGATGGCCGACTTCATGAGACGGGACAGCGACGGCAACACGTTGATGGGGGGGTAGATGCCGCGGTTGTACAGGCCACGGTCGACGAAAATCTGGCCTTCGGTAATGTAGCCCGTCAAGTCGGGGATGGGGTGTGTGATATCGTCGTTGGGCATGGTCAGAATCGGGATCTGCGTGATAGAGCCGTTCCGGCCCTCCACACGACCGGCACGCTCGTAGATGGTGGACAAATCCGTGTACATGTAACCGGGGAAATCTGCGGCGACCGGGAACTTCTTCGCGAGCGGACGACACTTCGCGGAGGGCGTCACAGTACGAGGAGAGATCGGTGAGAATGACGAGGACATGCTTTTCGAGCTGGTAGGGCGTAATACTCGGCAGTTGTGAGGGCGAGGCGCGGCGTGATAATACGTTTCGATACTGTTGGGTTTGTTAGCAAAGGCTACAGCGGCGAGAAACACTAAGGACGTACGTAGGGTCGTTGGCAAGGTTGAGGAAAAGGGTTTTGCGCTCCAAGCTGCCGTTCTCTTCGAAGTCGCGAGTGAAGAACCGGGCAGTTTCCAGGTTGACACCCATAGCCGCGAAGACGATCGAGAAATTATCCTCGTGGCCGTCGTGGACACCCTTGTTTGTGACGCCCTGGCGCTGCACCAACCCGGCCTGCCGGCAAATCTGGGCGGCGATTTCGTTGTGCGGGAGACCGGCGGCGGAGAAAATGGGGATCTTTTGGCCGCGCGCAATCGAGTTCATGGTGTCGATGGCCGAGATACCGGTCGAAATCATTTCTTCCGGGTAGACCTGCACTGTATAAGTCTTGAGCTAATAGCGTATAAAGAAGGCATCCTTACCCGTGAATAGGGGTTGATAGGGCTACCGTTGATATCCAAGAACTCCTCGGCCAGCACCTTGGGACCCTTGTCGATCGCACGACCCGAGCCGTCGAAGATACGCCCCAACATGTCTTCCGACACGCCGAGCTTCAAGCTCTCCCCGGTAAACTCAACGCGAGTCTATTCCCTTATTAGCTGCGGTTTGCCATCTTTCGTTGGTCGCGCCCCACCTTCTTGACATCGACGCCCGAAGTGCCTTCGAAGACCTGGAACGTGCGTCAGCAACCCCCGTCGTCGAATGGTGATGTCGGTGATTCTACCTGAACGACGGCCCTGGTTCCTATAAAAGTCGTCAGTCACTATGAGCACGAGGACGATCATCTATGGATGCCTACCTCGGGTTTCCAAGACCTGACCGGATCGCTGCGTCCCGTCGGGGAGTGTGAGGGTGACAATCTCATTGTACCTAGGGTTTTTGACCTGAGAAAACAATCAGAACAGCGTATTACCCCTTGTTCCAAAAAGGGCGGCTAACATTGTCGAGGATGACGAGGGGCCCGTTGACACCGCCGACAGTGTTGTAGCGGATCCTCGGCGTCACCCGGTACGATGACGGGTCCCGGGGGTCGCTCATTGCGATTAGTGAATTTGGGTGGTTTTCGGGGTACGCAAGGATATAAAGGCAGCGCCTATGTAGCCAAACGGACAAGCGATGCGAGAAATCGACGGCAAGATGGGTTGCGGAGCGGTTGTTGGCGTTGGGGGATAGGAGAGCTGCAGCGCAAGCTCCAAGTTGGACGAACACCACGACCAAGGTCACTACTGTGCCCCGCATTAATCCCTACGGCACAGCCACATGTTCCAAACCAACGGAGGCACAGCTACGGCGTTTAATGCTAGGCAGAGCCTGGACCAAACCTTTGCTCGGGGGGTCGTTTGAAGAGTTGCTCCTTCATTTCCCACAGTAGCGATTTCGAAATCCTTTCATAAGGGGCTGGGGGGTTTTGGCCGTAGCTTGAAAGGCTTCGCGCCGCCATGTTGAACAGTGCGCCCACCTCTCCCATCGAAGGGCGTTACCCCACCGCCTGGGTCTCCAAAATGTGGGCTGTGCATTGTTTTGGCCGGGCGGCCAGGAAAAATTGGTAAGCTTCAGTCTTCAAGGAGCTTTCAAGTTTCTCTCCTTTGCAAAAGTGCATCACCACCAGTGCCAGCGCCAACCTACCGCCATTCAAGATTCACAGAAGTAACTTAATGCGATTGTACCACGCTTTCTAAGATTTGCCTTTCAAGGCTTTGCTGCTTAATTCCTCAACCCGACTCGACGATGTCGTCCATCTACAATCTTGAACCGCAACCGACCGCGTCGGCCGTCATCCACACAACACAAGGCGAAATCGCGATTGAACTCTTTGCGAAACAGACACCTCTGACGTGCCGCAACTTTCTACAGCTGAGCCTGGACGGATACTACGACAACACCGTTTTCCACCGTCTCGTCCCCGGATTTATTCTCCAGGGTGGTGATCCGACCGGCACCGGACATGGAGGAGAATCGATATACGATGGCGGCGCATTCGGTGGCGACCTGGATCCATGGCCGATGGATCAACGCAAAGGGCAAAACGCCGGACCGATGGGAGTGGGCTTCCGGGATGAATTTCACTCGCGATTGAAGTTCAATCGCCGCGGTCTCCTGGGTATGGCAAACGAGGGTGTTCCCAACAGTAACGGGAGCCAGTTCTTCTTTACCTTGGGCAAATCAGAGGAACTAACAAATAAGAACACCGTGTTTGGCCGTGTGGCTGGTGATACCATCTACAACTTAGCCAAGATGGGCGAGGCGGAGGTAGCAGAGGGCACCGAACGCCCTCTGTACCAAATGAAAATCATCCGCATCGAAATCCTTATCAATCCGTTCGATGACATGAAAAGGAGAGAGAGGAAGGTGCGGCAGCAGGTACCACAGCCGGCTCCCGCAGAAAAGAAGCAGAAGAAAAGAAAAGGAGGCAAGCAACTGTTGAGCTTTGGAGACGAGGAAGGTGATGTCGAAGATCTTCCAATCGCCAAAAAGGCCAAGTTCGATACACGGATTGTGATGGATCTGGACGAAGAGCCCGCCCAGAAAGCGATCCCCGTGAGGGCGTCTGTCAAAAAAGAGAAGAAAGCACTGAAAAAGGAGGCGCAGGACTCAGGAAAACGCCCGGCGTCACCGCGGAAGGGCTCCGAGGCCCCGGAACCGGATCTGGTGTCAAATCCAAAGCCGCCACAACCTAAGACGTACGGCAGTGAAAGGTCCAGTCCTGAGGCCGTAGAGCCCCCGAAAAAGTCTCTTCTGGAACGGACCAACGAAGAAATTGCCGCGGTCAAGGCATCAATGAAGCGGACAATTCATGCAGAACCTGTCAAAGAAAAGATGAAGTCGTCGCTTGAGTTGATGGTGCCAGAGACATCAACCCGGGGGCGGAAGCGTCGGCCTGGGGCAACGAGCACAAGGGAGGAACAAGAAGCCCTCGCGTTTCTAACAGCATTCCGTTCAAAGCTGGAACAGGCGCCTGCGGAGAAAAAGACGTCTCAGCCCATGATCGCTGAACCTGGAGAGGAAGGCACGCAAGATGAGGAACCAGAAGTGTGCGACCTGCATTTCATTGCTAACTGCCAAAGCTGTAAGGCCTGGGATAAGGAGGACCAGGAGGAAAGCGATGACGAAGGCTGGATGTCTCACACATTGAGCTTCGCAGCTGATAAATTGGGCAAAGACTTGAGTTATCGAAAGAAGGCCGAAGAGGAACTAGTTGTTATTGACCCGCTCGAAAAGGCTAGAACTCTCAAGGAGGATAAGAGGGCAACAAGGGATGCCCCCTCTGGAGGGTCTTCTCGGGCCTGGGACAGGGATCGCGGTCGCGATAGAGATAGGAGCGGCCGCTGAGGTAAAAGTAGCGTATTGGATGTAGTTCGAAGCTGCCGTAGAGGTACTTCTGTCTTTGAGATACCCAGAGCAATTCCAAATGTGCGCCTAGAACTTTCCCATTGGATACACATGCCATGCAACATCTCTTTTGATATTTTTACATCAAGTACCTTAATTCCCAGGTGCACCTTCTTGCCCATGTATGTGTGTGAGTAAGGTAAAATGCCATGCCATAGACCCTAAGGTACCGAAGTATTTTTGACGTCACCGCACTCTCAACTGGCCCACTCCGAGTCCATCAACTCCTCCGAAGAGGTTCTCTCACAGCAGTTCAAGCGCGGAAGCTAAAGTGGGGCATCAAACATCATCCTTTTTCGGCACTTGAACTAGCTGAATTTGGCCCAGACCAGCCACTCAAGGTTGGAAAACTCAACTACGGTTGCCTGATTAATATCGCAGTCAGATTAAGAGAGTGAGATTCGCTCATTGTCCAAGCAGTGAACTGTGTTGCCTTTTTGGTCCAGCGCCGTTGCGTGTTATCAGTGTACCCCGCATGTGGGTCCCGAAGAATCGCGGAAAGTGATTGGCTTTGCTTTTTGCCAAGAACAAAAATCGCTATGATCGAGATCGTATCAACAGGTAGCCTACCATAACGGTGCGAGAAGTCGCAACCGCCAACCAAACCTTCTCGTGGTCAGTCTGGACTAAAAATTTCCGTATTCTCCCAATTCCCGCGCAACAAAACGGCCTCGGCCCCGATCACCTACTATCATCCGAGAGAATTCCTCGCTTTTTGGGCTGAAGGAGCTTCTCCATACATAGCAGCCACCCCTGACCGCTGTATCTGTCCGCCAACCGGAAACAAGCCGTCGCGAACCTGTGCTCTGAGACCAACGCGCATTGTTCAGATCGCTTCGAGGGACCAGCGCCCACAAGTTCCATTGAACATTGCATCCGCGGGACAACCCGTATGGCCCCCTTGTTCTCGTGCGGCGACTAAGAAGCGAATCCCCGTGATAAAGAATACATTGCGCCTTTCTCAACGAACAGTCTCAGCGGGCTTGTCGCGCCGTCACGAAGCATCTCGAAGCACAGGCTCAGTGCTTAGTTCTAACAAACATTGCATTGAACTGCGGAAGGAAGATCAGGGATATATAGTGCTGGTACATACCGTCCAAATCTGGGAAGAATAACGCTCGCCACCGCAACCCGCACCTCCACCGGCGTCGACCGTAATTTCCGCGACGCGATATCGAGTTCATTGGAAAACGTCGACCATCTAAGGACCCGAAACCGAGCCCTGGCGCCGTGCTAGATCGAACGATTACCGGACGAACACGGCATTGCGGTATCGAACAGCTACCTGTTTCCGGGCAACCCGTGCCGACACGCTTCCGACCGTTGCTGACAGCCCGGGTCGTCTCCACGTCGGTCCCAGCTAGTCAAGCATACGCTCGCCAGTGTTATGTCGTCGCCTAATCCGAGAAAACGACCTGCTCCAGGCCCGCCCCCCATGGCACCGCTACCCCAGATACCACAATCGTTTTCCCCAGTGCAGTCGGATCCGATGTTTCGGTGGAATGGTGTGGAAGGAGGCAGCTTTGGTGATTCCGGAACCCCCGGCATGAACTCCTTCGCCGCAATGCTCCCGACAGCGACCCCTTACGGGCAAACAATCCCGGCATCTTCAAACGCCCTCGCACGGCGACAGAACAGCCGGGCGCTAGTTCCCACAGCCCCGAGGACCCCGTTTGACCGCGGCTCTGACGGATGGAGCGGATACGGCGAAGACCCGGCCTACCTTCAACAAACAAATCCGGGTTCGGATGAGCACGACAACGTCGAACGGCTCGAGGAGATGGCCCAAAGGGCAAAGAGGGAAGCGCAGGCAAAGAGAAAACAGATACCACCCTTTGTCCAGAAGCTTAGCAGGTATGTCCGTATTTGTTCCTCTCCGTTGAAACACGCGCTGACATGATGTAGTTTCTTGGACGAATCGAGGAACACCGACTTGATTCGCTGGTCTGACAAGGGCGATTCGTTTGTTGTCCTGGACGAGGATGAGTTCGCCAAGACACTGATCCCCGAGCTCTTCAAACACAATAACTACGCCTCGTTCGTGCGGCAGCTCAACATGTACGGCTTTCACAAGCGTGTGGGACTGTCTGATAACTCAATGAAAGCGAGCGAGAGGAAGAATAAGAGCCCAAGCGAATATTACAATCCGTACTTTCGCCGCGGCCATCCTAACCTCCTATGGCTGATCAACAAACCCAAGAGCGGCAACAGCAAGAAGAAGGGGAAGAAGGACGAAGTCGATGTTGAGAGCGAAGAAGAAGGGGTGGAGGAAGCCTATAGCGCACCGAATCTCGCGGCTCCCCAGGCAGCTAGAGCATCTGTTTCCCACGAACTCAGCCCCTTGCAGAGGAAGGACTTGGTGCAAGTCAAGTCACAGATTGAGAGGATCCAGCAGCAGCAGGTTGCTATCTCCAACATGTTGAATAAGATGCGTCAGGATCAGAGCCAGCTCTACCAGCAGGCCCTCCTCTTTCAGAACATGCACGAGCGCCACGAGAACTCGATCAACGCCATACTCAACTTCCTGGCCAACGTATTTAGAAAATCGTTGGAAGAGCAGGGTGGGGCGCAAACAGTACAAGATCTTCTGGCAAGTATCATACCGAATGGTCAAGGACACCCTCAAACGCAAATCTCTCCAACCAGCGGCGTCGTTGACCTCGGCGGATTCGTCAACCAGCGGTCTCAAAACGTCAGCACGGCAGGCACTCCGAAGCGACAACCACGTCTGTTACCCCCGATTCCCCACCCTCAAGCAACAAAAGCGAGCACGCTACCAAGTACCTCCGCGCCCCCACCAGCACCACAAGCTTCGCACCAGGCCCCCCAGATGGGGACGGTTACCGAACTCTTCGACACCTCGCCTGCGGACACAACTTCCCCATCTTACATTAAGAACGAGCTGCGGAGCAACCCTCAGGAAGGCATGATGAAAATTATCCAAGACACCAATGCCGTCAACAACACCTCTGGGTTCGACCTCCCTGACGTGGCCGCCAAGACCCCCGCGAGCATGAGCGATGACCAACGTGCACAAATGCTCAACATCATGGCCGGGAGTAACCCAATCGCCACAACAGCGACGACAGCAGTCAACGGAATCCCTGCCGTCAGCCCGACCGCGTCTGTACCGCCACCGACAACATCGCCCGTCGCGCCGGACGTCTTGCCCCTCCCCTCGAGCCTGTCCTCCCTGCAAATGCCGTCCCTGCACGAAATCCAGAGCACCCAAGCCGAGCTGGACGCCCTGCAGCGCCTGCAGACCGAGCAGGCCGACCAAATCGATGCCCTGACGCACCTACTGGGGCCGCTCAGCCCAGCAGGCCGCATCCCCGGGCTAGACGAAAACGGGAATCCCAACACCAGCTACTTCGATAGTGTCGTCGACTACGACCAGTTCCTTCACAACAGCGCCTTCTCTGATCCGACTTTCGAAGCCCGGGGGCTTGGGATGGGATGGGCATGTCGGGCGCGGCTGATGGGACGGATTTCAACTTTAGCTTGGACGATAATTCTGTGGGTGACTATCTCTCCGGTAACGGGGGCGGGGGCGTTGGCGGGGTTGTCGGCGGTGGTCGCGCGGGCGGTGGTGCTGGTCAGGCCGGGGACGGTGGTAATGCGGGGTTTCAGCCGGGGCGAGTCTTTGAGGCAACGTCGCTGAACAATACCCCTAGCCCGGCCGGCACTGAGGAAATCACCAGGGCGGACCTTGACAGCCCGGACAGAGGCGCCAAACGGCGGAGGAAGGATTAGTTCCCCCTCAACCCTGCTTGGGGTACCCTTCGGGGAATCGCCTAGGCAGTATGTAGTTACGAGAGGGAGATTAGCTAGGGGACGGCTCTCCACTCTTTTGGTTTTGTTCGTTGTTCGGTGGTTGGGATGGTTGGCGGGTCTGCGGCTATCGGGAGAGAAGGAAGTGGAAGGGTGTATGGGCGGTGGGGTTGGCTGGTTGCACAAACACATTTCGAGATATCCTCTGTTCTGGTGGGTGGGCTTTTATTATTCCTTTCACTTACATGGCCTTGTGCCCGGATTCGAGAGAGCTGCGAGGAGATGCTGTCCTTCGATAAACCTTGGACGGGGCTGGCGAAGTTCAACCACCCTATTCTCACACTTAAGATGAGTGGGAATGTTTACGACTTCATGACGAAAGTTGATAGCGAATCAAGAGCGCATAGAAGCAGCATCAGGTTGTGTCGCTATTACTGGGAATTGCGTGCCACAAAGATCTTAATTAATTGTTTATCCTTCGACCCGTTAAACAAACGTACCGCTCCATGTTTGCCTTCAACCCAAATCAGCCCCCTACTCAACTCCAATCTCAAGTCCGGGCGCCCTTTGTGAACGCGCCTTACCCAACAACAGGCCGCCGAAGTTAAAGGCCAAAGCCCCAAGGGCATCCCCACGTAGCGCTGCCATCGTTCTTCAGGCTTAAGCCAACCAATTGGGCCTTTGGCTGCCAGGGCTCGCCATGTGAGCCCAAATAAGCATGGTCAGTGTTCGCAAGGCCTTGCGCCCATCCCACGCGGCGGAGCCTTTCCCCTTGACTAACGTCACTGCATCCCACCTACCGGCATGGTATGTAGGGTATATAGGTATGTAGGTCGCTGACATGGCAGCGCGCATGTAATCCTCCATTATTCGCATCCTCATAAACCTCCAAACAGGCTCGCCCACCTCACGCCGCCAACGGATTAGCGTGCACCGTCACCCTCTCGATGCGCACGGGCTCGAGCGGCCTATTCTTCTTGTCGACCTCCACAGCCTCGATGCGCGCCAGGGTCGCGAGGCTCTCATCGCCCAGCAGCTTGCCAAACACGGTGTTGATGCCGTCGAGGTGGGGCGCCGCCGCGAAGGTCACAAAGAACTGGCTGCCGTTGGTGTTGGCGCCCTTGTTGGCCATGCTGAGCACCCCGCGCTCGTGGTGCCGCAGGCCCGGCCGGATCTCGTCCTCGAACGTGGGCCCGTAGATGGAGCGCCCGCCCTTGGGGTTGTCGGGGGGGTTTGGGTTGGCGGGGGCGCCGGTCTGGGCCATGAAGGAGGGGATGAGGCGGTGGAAGGGCGAGGCGTCGTAGTAGGAGGATGCGCAGAGGGCGAGAAAGTTCTGCGAGTGCGGGGTGTTAATGCGCGCGCGAGGTTGGGAAGGGCCTGCGTTGGTCTGGCTGGGGGTGCGTTGGAGGAAACGAGGGAATGCGACTTTACCTCTGCAGTTTTGGGGACGCTTTCACAGAACACCTCGACTTTGAGGTCCCCGTGGGTAGTGTGTAGCGTCACCGACATGATGGGTAGCTGCTGCGGATGTTTTTGGTGTTATTGGTGGTTCATGTTTTTTTTTTTTGGTTATTTGGGGTTGATCATGGGGAAAGCAAGCCAAGGTGTTCTGGCCCAAGCCGTTGACATCAGAGAGAAGCTTGGCGTTTCCAGCTGGAGCTATGGCCATCGCAAACCATCTCAGCTTTCGAAACTTACGAAGTACCTCTTCGGAGCTGAATACAACTTCCAGAGGTATCATTACCATCCCTAAGGTACACTAAGCCTAAGTCGAATTGCATTTTATTATGGGTTAGGGTCAATGGTAAATACCTAGGTACCTACCTATGAAAGGGATGTGCTTCTCTGTGTTCAACTCTGTCCGTCTCCCTCATGATGAGACGCATTGACGGTGGTACCGCCGTCGAAAGTTCATCTGGCAACCTGTACTAAGATTCTCCGTGGCCATGTGTAAAGCCCGTTTAAGATATTACACGCCAAATACCCACCTTCGTCAACTGGCTGTTCAGGATTCGGGAAGACAGAAGACCGAGTCAGCCGCACCTACAGGTTACTGAGGCATGCATCACATGGGCAAAAAAAAGCCGAACTTTCAAGTTGTAGATGTTGACCCAACCTCGTCTTTAGAGACGAAAGGAAAACGAACCGAGGGTCGAACGAAACCGTGTTCGCTTTGACTACTTGCTTTTTTTTTCTCGATATTTTTCTTTGCTTCTTTTACTTCATTCCTCTTCTTGATAATCTGCTTTCCTTCCGAATTCGTCTTTTTTTGGCCGGAAGGTGGATGTTTCAGGACTCGATGCGAATGCGACATGGAAGAACCATCATTTCCTCTGTTTCTGTTTGTGGGGTATAGCGGGGTATCTTTGGGGCGGTCCCCACAAGCTGTCAGGGGTCCCTGCCGCCATCGCAGGGCTTTGTTGGATGACCTGCATGTTCCCAGGCATCAAAACACCAGCGCAAGGCTGCCACCTCACGGGAAATCTGTTTTCTTCACCGATCCTTTGCATCGCTGGCCTTCTCTTCGGCGGTCATTAAAGTTGGAACCCACACCATTCATTTAAAGCTCGATGAGCTTATTTATTTCCCCACCGCATGGAAGTCTCGCCCATCGAACCTGTAACCTCGGCCGCCGACGGTATTCGTGCCTACCTACTGTGTAAGGAGCTGGGAAGCCCTTCCCTGTAGGGCTGAGCCAGTTGGAGGGGGGATTGGTCGCCCGGAATAACATCCGTCCCTGCGCATTCATTTCCTGATCAGGCAGACCCTGTATGTACTGTGCAAGCTGTCAAAGCATTTTTATTATTTTTCCTGGGATGAACGCACAAGTTGCTTTGAATGATAGCTTCTTTGGGGGCAACTGACCCATTTTATGTTGTTGTCCTAGGTGTCGTACATCACACAGGCCCACGATTTGCAAGGGGAGCGCAACTGCTGTAACAGGGCCGAATCCCCCAAAGTGACCCTCCAATCCCACAACGACGGCCAAACGGCCAAATCCAACGGGACAAAGACCTCAGCGGCTCGAGAGGCAATGCCATTCGGCCCCCATAGTCCCCCTCTCGGCAGCGACCTACCTTGCCATTCCACTGCGACCTCAGCCAGACCTGCAGCTAACGCTACCGGACATCGGTAATCCGAGCGTGCTGCGTAAGACAAGCACGACAGGCTCCGGCCTGCCCACCCCACGAGGATCCGTTTTCACGACGACATTGAACGGCGGACTTGGAGTTGGCACAACTCTCGATCGCAGCCCCATACGGATCGCCGAGGCCGATGCCAATGTAACTAACTAATGCCCATGTCCGCACGGCGCAAACAATCTTATCGATACAGCGCCGACGACACATCCAAGAACCCCTCACCCCAAATTGACGACCTTCGGCCCCAACACGGCAGGCAGCCGATCGCAGTCCTGTGGGCCATCCATCGATGACCGGCGAAGGCCATTGCGCCCGCCTTAAACTCCGCTAACGACGACAACAACTACGACAACTCCCCGTCCTGATCGAGATCTTGGCAATCGCCGCTCCGGCGTCATCTCCATAATGAATGCGGCAAATGCCCCTGCGACCGTGAGGATATCCGGCCCACCAAACAGTAGCTTCCTGGTGGGCTACCCCGGTATCTCCGCGACTCTGGTAGGTCACGCATTCTTTTGTTTGCTTTCCAAGATCGCATGTAGATTGCGATACCGGATGCCTCATATTGGAACGACCGCGCAATTGCGCCGTTGCAAAATGGCCGCGCATGTTCTCGTGCTAATTCTGACTGTTGCAGCCTAGAATCGTTGGCAAAGTCGAAATCCGCCCCGGCGCAGGCTTCTCAGCACCCGTGAACGTTTCCATGGTGCGCATCTGTCTTCAGCGACGCGAGACGATACATCCGGCCGCCGAAAATGTTGCAAAACGACACCTTGGGACGCCGCGACGGGAAACAGTAGATTTGGTGGGGAAGGAGGTGCTACTCTTTCGATGCGTGTCGGGAAAAGAGGCGGAGAGTGTGATCGCGATGGACCTGCCATTTCAAATATTCATTCCGTTCGGGCGCAGCGGCGAAGAGACGAACCGCCGGATCCCCCCTGCAAGCATACAACTACCCAGCCGAATCGCCGAGACATATTACGAGCTCGTAGTCACCGTCCAACAGGGGTCCAGCATGCAGAACCGCTATACTTTCCCCATTCCGCTCCAGCGGTACGACACCCTCTCGACCTTCGGCATGTACAACCGACCAGAAACGAGGGCGGCAACGGCGGACCATATAGTGACTCTAGGCATATCGCTTCCAAAATGGAGCTACGGACCCCTCGACCCCATCACAGTCTATGTCAAGCTCTCGCCGAACCCGGACTACCTTAACAAAGCGAAAAGGGTGACGATCCAGAAGCTCACTCTCACCATCGAGGAGGAGATTACATTCAACCCCGAAGGAGACGAGCCAACGAAGAAGATCAACAAGATCGCCAAACACACCCAGGCCGTGGGGACGAAGATGCCCGAGACCGGCTATATCACCAATCTAGGGCTCGTCCTCCCGGCCCGAGACCTAAGAGATCCGGACGGCATAATAAAAAGGGGCAAGCCCGCATTTCCCATGTACGAGGTGACGAGCTTCTCGACGACCTCCACATTATATAAAGTTGAATTCTTTTTAAGCATCAAGGTGCGACTTCTCCGGATGAGTTTTCTCGCTCTTTTTTTCTCACAAGTTCTAGGCCCACATGACTTCCGCTAGAGATATCACATTACGCCAGCCGATCGTGGTATGCCCGATGGACCAACAGGCCTGCAAAGAGGAGATGGATGCCATCGAACAAGCAGCAAAGGACGCATCTCATGTCGATCCCAACAACCCCATTCTTCCAGATCGAACCATCATCCTAGCCACCGAGAGAGAGGCGATTCGGCATCTTGGGCTATGTGAGGTTGGGGGGGTAAAAAAGATGCTGATCGAGTGATCTTGTGAGATAGACAACACTTGAATGGAAGTGGGACGATCCAGGCAACACACAGCGTCGATTTGATGGCTAGAGCATGCCGTTCGCCCTCCGAGACCGAAAGTGTTCGCCACACGTCGATCATCCAAGCGAGACGACTAATCCACCCAATCGAAACTCTGGATAACACATACCGTCAACTGGCCTTTGGGCCGTGGCTTGTTCGTCCCGATCTTTCGAGCGCTGCGGGCGTCTAATGAGCTTCTCAACAAACCAATCCGGCACCCTCCTCGCCATGTTCGCAGTATGGTCTTGAATGACGGAACTGTAGATCAGGCGACGACACGTTGAGTAAAGCGGGAGGTGGGCTATGCACAATGGTGCCGCGTTGTTGGGTAGACAAACGGGCTGGTAGACGATGAGCCAGACCTGATAGGCTTTTTTGCCTCAGCATGGAGGAGAAGAACCATGTGTGATGCTTAGGATAGGAACGGTGCGATGCTCTAATCATCCAGTTGACTAGCCATTTGTGGGTAGGGGGTATATTGGGGCTCGGGTGAGGGGGCATTAGGATGGCTATGGTTACGCGTGGGGGGTCACTGGCGGCCGTGTTCCCAGTCGTTAGGGTAACTGGACTAAACTACATCCGCGGAGACCTAAAGTACGCACCACAATTTTATTCAGCCTCGAGACAATCCTCCATTAGAAATCCATATGTTGTGAATCGACACTCCTGCTAACTACCAGAGACGCCAGTCGCCTCACAGCCGCGAAGAAATCACTTCATGAGATCAACATTCTTGATATCGGTATTCTTTACATGTCTGCGCAACATCCTCTCCGTTATCCCTCATTATCTTTCTATCAACATTCTTAATGTCAGTGGAATGAGCAGCGAGCTGCATCGCAGTAATCCCTTACACGCCCCCTCTCGGCTAGCGCCGATACACTCCAATACAGATTTGGACAACTATAATGGGATTCGTCAACGGCTAGTCGAATGGTTAGTCAAACGTATATGATAAGTCTACCAGTATGCTAGTTCAATATCAAGCTCGAGGAGTAAAACTACCATACAATGATAACTGTTTGGATATTGATAATTTTCTGCTTTCTTTGTAAACTGAACGACGTCTCACATCTGTGGTTACAAATTCCGTACTGAGGGCGGGTACCGTAAACGAGAAGCAACGGCAACAGAGCACGCGAAACTCACATACCGTCACCATACAATGCCTTTAGATTCGTGATTATGGTAGTATATACTCTTCAGACACCACTTGTCATGTTAGCCCTCCACGCTCCAAAGGCACATTGTAGGTTGCGCTTCCACATCAACCTTTGCTGTCTTGGATATTAACCTTCCGCGAAAACTACGGGCTCGCCGTTCTAGTTGCTAGTTGTTTCATGTTAGCAGAAGCATGGGGATGTCAACAAAGGGCAAGCAAACAACAAAAAGAAAAAGGAGCAACAAAAACATACAGCACCGAGGATTCGCTGGTCGTCACCGACCCAACTACTAGTTCGGCCCTTGCGAGTTTCACTAGGGGAGAGCGGACGGGATCCCGTGTTTTCTGGCAGGTATGGCCGTATGTGATAGAAAGGAGTTCGAGTTGTGGGTTATGTAGCCAGAGCCAGAGAGTGGGTAAGGAGAAGGTCCGAGGGTGGAAAAAAAAATGTGCCCCTGGAACATCAGCGTCGACAACACTAGACGTAGTGGTGAGTCAATTTGCACAACATCTACTACCTATTATATTGAGTCCAAGGTTGTAGATATTATGTAGTGTTCTATCCACTGCTTGTATTGTGTTGAAGGATCGAGGAAACTCTCAAAACTCAGCTGAGTAAATAATCAAACTCAGCGTATAACCCTAACCCTATTTGCTGAAAGCATCAGCAAGAAAATCAACCTTCTTCTCAAGTGGAATCCCCTTCAACCTTCGCTCTTCTCCTCAAAGTCCATTCTGCAAGATTTGATCGAAGCCTATTTGTTAAATATTACATTTCAAGAGCTTCACCACCAAATCTTTGCCCCAATTCTCCTCCACCGCAACCGGCGAATTGTACATAACCCGCGCGACCGCATCCCCACAACGTGAACCATCAGTCACCACGAAGAACGCTATCAAGCCCGCCGATAACGAAATATATCAACACCCGCCAGAGCGTCCACTCGCCGCATACCAAACCTTCAAGAAAAACCACACAAAGTACCACCACCGCCCGCCCATCATGCCCCTCGACGACGACGACAACCCCGCCCTCGCCCCGCCAGCACCCTACCTCTCCTCCGCCCTCCCCGCGGACACGGCCACGGCCGCAGCCCCCGCCGCCACAGACGACCTCACAACGGAGGACCTGATCGAAGACGAAGGGGCGGCGTCGCAAGACTTCCGGGCGTTTGCGGCCGCACTGCAGTTCCGCAAGACGGCGGGGGTGTCGGCGCAGACGATCCGCCGCGGCGAGAAGGACTTTGAGGCGCACGGCACGCGCGCCCAGGCCGACGCCCTCGAGCAGAGCCGCGGGGCGATGCGCGATGTGCTGTCGTATACGCGCGTGCATGCGGCGGGGAGAGGTGGGAATTTGGCGAGGGGATGGTATTTCCCCGGTTGGTGGGAGGGGTATAGGGAAGAGGAGGTGGAGGAGGGGAAGGAGGGGGAGAAGAAGCCGTTTGGGTTTGTGAGGGAGAGAGTGGTGGTGTTGGAGGGTTCGTCGGTGGCGAGCCAGGCGCTGGGGAGGGCGGTCACGGGACAGGCGAAGGACAGGCCTGCGAGGGGGAGGGATTGGTTGTTGCCGGAGGAGGCGTTGTATCTGGTTGAGAGGGGTTCGTTGGACCTGTGGTGGCCGTTGAAAGGGTTGGAGGAGCTCTTTCCCCCGGATGGGACCGCGGAGGCTGTGAAGGAAGACGGCGAAGAGGACGACGAGGACGACGAGGTGGATGAGTACGACGTTGGTTTTCCGCTCAGTCTCCAGGCGGCCTATGCACTCCTCATCGGCGAAGACGGCGAGCGAGGCAAGATCAGCCTCCAAAAATTCCAGGTCTATTCGAATCTCAAACGATGCGGCTACAACATCCTACGAGCGCCGCCCACCGTCAACCACCCCACCACGAAACCAGCAACGACCACCCCTTTGGCAATGGTTCGCCTCACTCCTCACCGCGACCCCCCACCATCCTCCCTACGGCCCGTTAGTCAAACCAGGCCTCTACCGCTCCTACGCCTCCATCTACCGCCAAATGGCCCTCCTCCCCCGCCACATCCCATCCGCAACCCCAACCAACCCCCCACCCGCCACGCGCGACCCCTTCACAATCCACTTCCACGTCTGGAAGTCGGCGCAGAAATGGACCAAACTCCGACACCCACCACCGGACTTCCAGCTCGCGGTCGTCGACGCGCAGGCCTCGTCGGTCCCGACCGGCGCCGAGATCACCGCCCTGCTGGGCGCTACCCCGCCGGCGCCCGGAAAGCCGGAGTGGACCGGGCCCGGGCGCATCTACGCGCGCCTGAAGCACGGCTACCGCAACGTGCTGGTCGCCGTCGTCGATCACGGCGTCATCAACTATATGCGCTTTGCCGAGGGTACGTTTGGGGCGGATGAGGTGTATGGTCGGTTTGATTTCCCTGGTGGGGGTGGAAGGGGCGATGGGAAGAGGGGTGGGGGTCGGACTCTCGGAAAGGGTCGGACATGTTTAATAAGAGAGAATCGGGTCAAAAAGGTGGGTCAGTGTAGATATGTTGTAGGGAGGTGATATGATAACCTGTACCCGGTAATGAAACAACGGGGGTCGCCGGAAACAGCAGGGATAGTCGTGGAGGAAAGTACAACAGTCTAAGATATGAAGAACGGGATGAGACGTTTGTCAAACATAATCTGATCACTGATAGTGGTGGCTATCGTTGAGTGGTTTTGCCACGCGGCGACCACAGCCCTGCACCTAGTTCACTCGGTACGCTAAGCACACGAGCTCAACCGTAGCAAAAATGCCT